GTCAGATACACCATTCTTTGCCATCCATTGCAGCAATTCCAGTGTGGTACCCAACTTTTTCTGCCCCGTATCACAAGTTGGGTATAACAATTTCTTGTGATCCTCTAGCATGCGCTTGAACTTGATCTTCTCCTTTTCACTTTCGCATTCTCTTTATGCGTCACGAATGGCCTGACCAAGATCATCAGCGGGCTCATCTTCTACCCCTACCTCTTCTTCAGCTTCTCCTATTGCAGTATCATTGAAGGCACCATATTCAGCAATAATGTCATCATCGTCCCATTGTTCTTCTTCACCTTCTTCCATTACAACCCCGGTTTCTCTGTGCTTCATCCAACAAATATAGTTTGGCATGAAACCCGACTTCAACAAGTGTGAATGAAGACTCCTTGAGCTAGCATATTTCTTCAAATTCTTACATATGGCACATGGGCAGCACATGAAACCATCGCGTTTGTTTGCCTCGGCCACACGTAAGAAAGAATGCACGCCCTCAATGAACTCTTGGGAGCGGCGATCAGCATTGTACATCCAATGCCGACTCATCTGAATTACATGACATACATACCATATTAAAACCTAGAACATAATTAGTTAATTATACGACATGCATGCCACCACACAAGGTATTAATTTATGAAAGTCTCGCTACAATGTAGACAATCCCAACTACCACTAAAAAAACTAAAGCTAAAATGCACTTCAGCAGTATAAGGATTTCGCGACCAATCCCAACTAAAACAAACAGATCATGCGTTTGTTCAACATCTATGGGCTTCTTCCGCAGGATCACTACCTCATCAGCCGCCGTAGCTGCATGTGGAAGAGAGTTTTGCATGTGTTCAACATACTCTTCCTCCCAGTACCAGCCTGAACATCCAATGCCATCCCACTGAAATTAAAACAAAAAAATTAGAACTTTAATCACAATCATCATGAAAATAAGTATAAATTAACCATAATCATCAAATGCGACAAAATAACTCACATTGCGATCCGAACACTTGTAGAAGACACTGGCCTTGTTGGGACACTCCTTCCTCACCCGGTACTCCATCACAATCTTCTCCTCACACTTGCCGCATGCAATGAGAGGGAGGTCCGGCCTCAGTCGCTTTGGAACCCGATGAGAGGCCGAGGACCCGAAAGCAGTTGCCATCTACTCTCTATACTCATTTTTAATATAATATAAATTTCTCATTTTATAAACAAATAAAATTAAAAAAACTCTAAAATTCTCTATATCTCTAAACCATGAAGTGTGCTATGCATGCTAGAAATGAAAGCTGAATACTAGTTTTGAATAACTACTTTAACCTTCATCCAAATATGCAAACTTTAAAGTGATTTTGAGCTTAAATGGCTTACAAATAAAAAAATCCACCATAAAAAACCACATATATCTAGTCCACAAAATAAGATATGCTACTGATGAAACATGAGAGTATAAAGTTGGTAACCTTTAGAACCGAAGAATCGATAAAGGAATCGAAGAAATCTTGTGATTACCGGCGATGAGGAAGAAGAGAGGCCGACGATGAAGCAAGAACACTGAGGTCGAAGTGGCTCGGGCTCGGGGAGGAAGAAGGGGTATATAGGAGGGGACCTTTAGTCCCGGTTGGAGACACCAACTAGGACTAAAGGCCCATTTCTAGTTCTGGACGGAGCCTCCAGCCGGGAGTAGACTTTTACTCCCGGTTGGAGGGACCAACCGGGAGTAAAAGTTAACCTTTAGTCCCGGTTGGTAGCTCCAACTGAGACTAAAGGTCCCCTGCAGTAAAAGCCTACCACAGTAGCCGTTGGGCAAGGTCCTTTAGTCCTGGTTGGAGCTACCAACCGGGACTAAAGGTTTCTCTAGTCCCGGGCGTGAAAAATACCGGGACTAAAGCCAAATTTCGAAGTGGATCAAAAGTCGTTTCTCTACTAGTGATAGATATAGGGTCTTAATCTAACTCCATAAGTTTTGTGTTCCAATTTGGAAAGCTGTGGCTCAACCCAAGTGCCGTTTTTTCGCATGGACATTGTTGCACAAGAAGATTCCTACCACAAACAACTTAAGCAAACGAAATTGGCAAAATGATCTGATCTGTAAGTTGTGCGGGGTCGATCTAGAGATACCAACGGATCTCTGCAAGACTACCCTTTTGCCAAGGAGGTGTGGAGGCTAATAAAACAATGGTTCAGTTTATCAATAGTAGATATGGTGCTAATGAGGCAGGGGTCACTACATGGCTACTGGCGGAAATGTCGTGTCAAATTCGACAGAGGGCAAAGGAAAAAAGATGATCGGATTATGATCTATTTTTGGTGGAACATCTGGAAACAACGAAATAGGAGAACCGTCCAACAAAAGTCGCTGCAACCAAGATAAGTCACAATGTTTATAAGGATGATATACAACACAATACCATATGGCGACAAAACCGACGCATATGGACGGATAGCCCCAAGTTTTTAGTTTGTTTCTTTAGTAGACCTTTTGGTTCTTGCTTTCGTGGTCGAGCCTATGGTTGTTTTTAGGGTTTTATTTTTCAGTTGTTCCTACCCTCTAGTGGCGGTTGGAAGGTGGGTTGCGGAGTTGTGGTGGGAGGGGTCCTAAAGGCCCGTCCAAGCTGTATTCTTATCTTTGTTTGTTCTTACCCCATCTAATAAAATTATCGGTAAAGCTTTTGCCGCCTTTCTAAAAAGTTTTGTGTTCCAAAGTGTTTTGCGAGGAATGTAAATGATTTTGTGCACAAATACCATGAATAGTGGAGGAGCACATATGACCAAGGATCAATGAAAGGTAAACTAGGGTTTATTCGGACATCTGAACGTGATTCCAACCAAGGAACAAAATGAGACTTTAGACATGGTGCAAGACTTTATCAAATCACATGTTTTGTAATGGTATATATATGTGCCAGTAGTATATAAGAAAACACATAATTATAATAAGCGATATCTATAATTCACCTTATGTTGAAGGAAACTATATAAAGCATTAGAGCCAAATGAAACTGTGTCATCTTTACTGTGAGACAATTAACAATGTTACCTGCTAAAGAGGAGCCTCTAGTCTATGTGCAAGATAACTTGGACTATCCATCCACTTTTGCATATACTAAAGAGAAGTTAACATGAGTTGACAAGCTGCCCGTCCTCTCCAATCTACTTGCATGCGCATGCGATAGATCTTATATGTAGCCCTTCTAATGACAAATCTGTGTAGCTCAGAAGTAGTTAGCAAAGGAATTTCAAGAATACTAAATAGTATCATATAGAAATCATTAGCAGGAATTCATTATTTCTATATTAATTCAAGCAGTCTAAACAAAGGGTTTGTTTTGCTTATACTTGGTTTGAGGTATGAACATTTTAAACCCGTACTTAAAATCCATGATTCGTTTTCTGATTTGGAAGCATTCTAAAGGCTAGAGTTTTTTCAACTAAAGGAAAATATATATAATTTTTTACTTTCAGAGATAGTCATGAAAAAATAAAAGCATAGGACTATCATAAAGCTCAAACCTCATTAGATAAGAGCATCAGACTGAACTCAACCTCCATGAAGTCATCCTCATCACATGTCCATCCTTAACACATGTGACCAACAATTAGAAAGCATTAGTTTATGACGAACATCTCCCCAAATGCATGAACCAATCATAAACAATTGCTAGAAGGATATTTATCCATATTATTAGATATATAACAACAACAAAACAACAACCAATGCGGTCCACCCCGAGCACGACTGACTCGTAGATGTCGATCCTCGTGGTTGGCTGCAGACTCACATAGTCACATACACTTGCACACTTGTTGGCGCTGTGCAGCAGTACACAACACTTGTACATAAGTGACGCGACGATGAGGATGGGCCATGACGACTGATCCAACACTGCCTTATCATCTGTGGTGGACAGAGGCACAGAGGCCTAACCCTAAGTTTAGGGTTAGGCAACGGCAATGCGCCATTCTCCAGACCTTGGCCTAATCCACCATAGTGGCTAAGCCAGTGATATGACGCCAGCACAAAATGCCACCGTTGCCCAGATATGCCGAACTCCATGTGAGGCGGGAAGGGGGAGGTGTAGGGGAGGAAGGCGGTGGGAGGGAACCAGAGTTGTTGAGGCGTAAGGATATCATCGTTACGCCGGGATCCGTGGTTGTGATTGATGGGAGTGGGACATACGTTAGGGGTTGCTAGCACAGGGGAGCGTCATGGGTACGCGGATGGGTGTAATTTTTTGGTGAGAAATTAAAAAACAGAGAGGGGGGAGCGCGATGGTTTACAATATGCAGACACACGTGTCTGCCTATTCGTGTCCTTGTTAGTGGTTGGGTCCAACCATTACGCGCGTGTCACTCAATCTACATTAGATGCAAAATTCAAAACACATTCATTGGAGAAGATTAGAGGTGAGTAGGATGGATTAAGGTGAGGGGCATTTTATAATTCCTTTTTTCTTTTACGGTATACACTGAGTATGATTTATGATACGTGCTGGTTTTTAGAGAAGTACTACCGGTACATTGCTCCTTCATGTTAACAATGCAAAACTTGATGTATGCACGTGTACCCGTCCACTAGATACTGTACATTAGTGAAAAAAACATTAGGGGGGTGTTCGGCTGCCCTTGTTCTGGAGGAATTTGGATGGTTTGGAGGAATTATGGAGGAATTTGTGAGAGAAAAATACTGTTTCGGATGAAAAAAAAGCGGATCAAGTCGGGTTTAACAGCACGCGAACGAGGCGTAGGTAGAGAAAGGAGAGGAGCAGCCAGGTCGATTACCTTTTAAGCCAAGCGAACAGGGCATTCACTTGTGAAATGGAAAAGTACAACAGGTTACCCAAAGTCGAACTTGGACACCGTGCCTCGGCTACATACTACACTGACACCTTAACGCTAGCAGAAACGAAACTAACAATGCATTGACACTAAACAATGACAAGATTACCACCAATCCGGCAATCCCGCATACGTGCGCACGTACACATGATGCATGCGTGTGGTTACGCGCACTTGAAGCCCGTGGGGACGCCCTTGCCGCAGAAGTTGAGGACGAGGCTGAGGTTGACGGGGATGTTGAGGTTGAGCCCCAGCACGTTGGCCTTGATGGCCGTGCACAGGCACACGGCGGCGTCCAGCTCCACGAGCCCGTTCAGCAGCGGGCAGCACTCCTCGTTCACCGGCACTCCGGCCTTCGCCTTGATCAGGTCCAGCACGTTGGCGCACACGCCCAGCTTCAGCGCGTTCGTCGGGCAGTGGCCGTACCAGCCGCTCGTGCCGTCGTTGCCACTGCCGCCGCCACCTCCACCAATGGGGCCGTACCCGCCACCACCGCTACCGCCTCCGATGGGTCCGATCCCACCGCCACCTCCACCAATCGGGCCTATCCCACCGCCGCTGCCACCGCCACCGATCGGGCCGTACCCTCCGCCGACACTACCCGGCCCGCCGCCGTTGCCTCCCCAGCTGCCGCCGCTACTGCCCTCACACGGCCCGCTGCCTCCGCCGTAGCCGCCGCTTCCCCCGCCGCCATGCCCACTGCCGCCATGGTGCCCGCTGCTGCCGTGGCCATTGTTGCCCGGGCAGTAAGGGCAGGCGTTGGCCGCCGCGAAGAGCAGGAGGTTGAGGACGAGGAACAGTGACACCTTGGTGCACGCCATTGGTCACGAGCAGCTAATAAGCTAGGCCAAGCCAAGCACCACCCGCTGTGGCAGCTGCAAGTGTGGATCTCCGAGTGGAAGGAAGGTCGCTTTATATATACGGAGATCTCGCTGCTACTAGCTACTCCAAAGTCCTAACGTAGGGTTGGGCAAAATCAGCATTCAGCAAAGCAAAACAAGGTAGAGCGGAAAGCGATAGAGCACGGTGCTGCTCTTCGGGAGACGGGCCGCGTAGGACAAGAAGCCGTGACTCTGGATGACACATGCATGCATGGGCGCACGGGCAGAAATGGCCCCATGGCATGGTCGGCGGTGTGAGAAGACCAAGCGTCGGATCGTTCCGTGCATGCCTACGTGTTAATATATAGAGCAGGAAACGCTCCTGCCGTAGTTTATAAGATTCACCGTGATTTGCTTAACCGGTTAGGAAAGCTACATCCTATTTATATGGAAACTATAGAATACAATCACAACAACATATCCTTGATCGGTATAAGTCTATCACGGTGAATATAACTTGCTTGTTTACATATACGTTAACAACCCCCCTCAATCATAACTTACATAAGTTAAGATTGTGCCAAAAATCTTGAAGCTTCTGAATAGTGAGGGGTTTGGTGAAACCATCTACAACTTGATCATGTGTAGATATGAGCCGAATATCCAATAGCTTCTGAGTGACTCATTCTCGAATAAAATGATAGTCCACCTCAATGTGTTTTGTTCTAGCGTGGAATACAAGATTTACCGAGAGATATGTTGCTCCAATACTATCATACCAAAGCCGTGCTACAGGTGGACTTTTAATACCCAACTCTTGTAGAAGGCATTGAATCCAGATATTTTCAGCTGTTGCATTTGAAATAGCTTTATATTCAGCCTCTGTACTAGATCGTGATACTGTGGCTTGCTTCCTTGAACTCTAAGATATTAAATTAGACCCAAGAAATACTGCAAAGCCACTAGTGGAATGACGATCATCTACACATCCTGCCCAATCTGCATGAGAAAAGGCACTAACAAGCATAGATGTTGACCTTCTTATCTTGAGGCCATTATTTGCTGTTAACTTGAGATATCTCAAAATTCTTTTAACTGCTGACCAATGAGTACCTTATTAACTGAAAAAGATATATCAGGCCGAGTCAGAGTAATGTATTGTAGAGCTCCAACGATACTACGATACTGTGTGGCACCATTAGGCTCGAGTGAATCGCCATCTTCGATAGAGAGCTTCTCAGATACAGATAACGGAGTACTAACTGATTTACAGTGCCGCATGCCCACGCGTTGAATTATATCATTTGCATATTTTTCTTGTGATAGTAAAATACCTCCAGGCACCTTTTTTACCTCAATTCCCAAAAAGTAATGTAAATCTCCAAGATCTTTTAATGCAAAGTCTGCCTTCAAGTCCTGAAGAAGAGCACTGACGACATCTTGTGATGAACTTGCAACTATAATATCATCAACATATATTAACAAAAATATAGTAATTGGCCCTTTCTTATAGAAGAACAGTAAAGTGTCAGCTTTTGATGCTTGAAAGCCAATAGCCTGCAATTTCTGACTAAGTCGTGAGTACCAAGCTCTAGGTGCTTGTTTAAGACCATATAGAGCTTTATCTAACTTACATACATAATCTGGCATAGACTGCTTCTCATACCCTGGTGGTTGTCTCATATATACATCCTCCTCTAGAATGCCATGAAGAAACGCACTCTGAACATCTAATTGATGAAGATGCCAACCATTAGAAACCGCAATAGATAAAACTGTCCTGATAGTGGCAGCCTTGACTACTGGACTAAAAGTGTCTTCGTAGTCAATCCCATATCTCTGTTTAAAATCTTTTGCAACTAACAGAGCTTTATATCTGTCTATTGTACCATCAGCTTTTCTTTTAATTTTATAGACCCATTTACAGTCGATTATATTTCTACCTTTTTTTGAATGAACTAAGTGCCAAGTATTATTTTTTATAAGTGCCCGATATTCATCTTCCATAGCATCCCTCCAGTTCGTATTACCCAAGGCTTCATCTAGAGTCTGAGGTTCACCAGTGCTAGTAAAACAGCCATACCTGATGGTGCCGTCTGTTCTAATTTTTGGTTGCCGAATACCTCGTTGTAGTCTTGTAACAGGCCTATTTTGCATTGGAATAGAGAGGTAGCAGGGACTGTAACCACAGCCAATCCGGGCGCTGTAGGCGGTGACTCAGCGCCAGCGGACGGTGGAGCTGGGGACTCGGTGGGCGCAGCAGCTGTCCCCCCTGCCGAGTCATGCACAGGTGACTCCGAGCTGGCGTGCGTGCCAGGCACGGGCTGCATGCTAGAGTTGCTCGGTGCAGACATGGACAGATTCTCCTCAGAAGTTCCAGCACCTGAGAAATCTCCTGATTGCTGCATAATATCGTCAGAAGCAACATGCATAATATCTCTGTTATCTAAAATTTGCGGCAAGTAAATTGGAGCATTAGTTAAGTGGTCATCTAAGTGTCCATCCCCATGATCATTACGCAATGAAGAGGGTAACAAAAGAATCTCAGAACGGAGACGTGCTCCAGCATTAGGGTGTAGATCTTTGAAAGGGAAAATTTCTTCATCAAAGACAACATCCCTTGAAATATAAACTCGGCCAGTAGAAATATCAAGGCACTTATACCCTTTATGAAGATTGTTGTATCAAGGAAAACACAACGTTGTGAGCGAAACTCTAGTTTTCTAGAATTATAAGGAAAAAAGATTAGGTCAGCATGCATAGCCAAAGACCCGAAAAAATGTATAGTCAGGCTGCTGGTAATAAAGACGATGAAGAGGAGTGGAAAAACGTATAACCTTAGGAGTTCTGTTGATGAGAAAGGTTGCAGCAAGAAAAGCCTCGCCCCAAAATTTTAGACGCATATAAGCATTAGCAAGGAGAGAGAGGTCTACTTCGACTATACGGCAATGTTTGCGCTCTACCGAACCGTTTTGTTGATGTGCACGAGGGCAAGAAACATGATGAGAAATACCGATTTTGGTAAAAAAAGAACTTAACTTCTACTATTCACCACCCCAGTCTGTTTGCACAGCTAGAATTTTTTCATCAAATTGCCTTTCTACAAGCTGTTGAAATTCATGAAATTTTTGAAACACCTCAGATTTATACTTTAGTAGATAAATCCAAGTAAATTTGCTATAATCGTTAATGAAGCTGACATAATATTTTTTCACCAACGGAATCAGGAGCAGGACCCCAAACATCAGAAAAAATAAGTTGCAACGGAGCGGAAGAAATGCTGGTCGACTTTGGATATGGAAGTTGATGGCTCTTGGCCTTTTGACAAGCATCACAAACAGGCTGCTTATTTGATTCACTAGAACAAGGCAAATTGTTTTGACTAATGACATGCTGAATAGAATATGACGGATGGCCTAAACGACTATGCCACCTGACGGGACACTTTATTGACTCCAAAAGCATGTTTCTCGGCATCAATGGAACATGATGAAGGAAGGGGATATAGCCCACGTCTACATCTGCCTTGAAGAAGGGTTTTGTTCGTGTCCTGATCCTCGACAAGAAAGAAATCAGGATGAAATTCTATAAAGGCATGATTATCGGTTGTGAAACGATGAACTGAAACTACATTTTTCTTGGCCTTTGGAACATGAAGAATATTATTTAAGTGAAGATTGCGATAAGGGGTGTGAACAATAGAATAACCAACATGACTAATGTCCATACCTGTACCGCTGGCTGTATGAATCTGATCGATCACTGCCTGTATATTTGTTACGAATTGTTAGTTTCTCCAACTCGCCTGTGATATGATCTTTGGCCCCTGTATCTGCATACCAATTTGTATCCACAGTATATGATGATGTAGCAACATTAACAAGTCTCGGATCGGGCGTGTAACTTTCATCATAACGATGCCAACAATCAACCGCCGTATGGCCTTCCTTGAAGCAGACCTAACATAAAGGCTTATCATTATTACCAGAGGACGTGTTGTTGACATGCCAATTTCTGTTATTGTTGTCGTGGCCTTGTCCGCGTCCACGACCTCCATTGTTGCTTCGTCCGTCACCACGCCCTCGGTACGGGCCACGTCCACGTCCACCAGAGGCGCTGCGCATGCCGCCACGACCACGACGCGAGGCCGCGTTCGCCGAGGAGTTCGACCCTCCTTTGCCAGAAATCCACGCGCTGCTCAAAACTGAGCAGTTGCGCGTATAGCTCATTGACCGAGATCGGTTCAACCCAAGCAAGAACTACAGACACAATCGAGCTATACTCCATGTCAAGACCTGTGAATATATACCCCACAAGCTCCTCATCATCAATCGGTTTGCCGGCATAAGCCATCTCGCAGCCGAGTGCCTTCATCTTTCCCACATACTCAGCAATCGTCATGTTGCCTTTCTGAGTCGTGGCTAACGCAATCCGGGTATTGACAACCCGAGCACTCATGTGGGAGGCATACATGTCCTCCAATGCCTTCCAGAGCTGTGCAGCATAGGTGCATGTCGCGACCTGGGTCAGCACTTCGCGCTATAGTGATGACACGAGGTAGCTGAAGACTTGTTGATCTTGTATCAACCACTGCGCATGCACAGGATTAGGGACTTTCTTCTTCTCCTTCTCGTCGTCGATCTCAGCGGCCGGAGCTTGGATCGAGCCGTCGATGTACCCAATCAATTGGGCACCATGAATCGTAGGAAGCACTTGAATCTTCCATAGCGGATAGTTTGTCTTGGTGAGCCGTTCGGTCACAGGATGTCCGATGGCATTGACGGCGAGATTGCTCGAAGAGCTCGCCATGGCTTCGGTGTAGATGGGGTCTCTCTCTCTCTCTCTCTCTCTCTCTCTCTCTCTCTCTTGTTAGATGAGAGGCTCTGGTACCATGTGAGAAGACCAGGATGGAAGCGTCGCACCGTTCCCGTGCACGCCTACGTGTTAATATATAGAGCAAGAAACATCACTGCCGTGGTTTACAAGATTCTCCGTGATTT